ATTCAAAATCAAGTCAGGACAAAAATGTTATTAGTGCGTAGGCCCTTTTCAAGCACTAGTTAGCTAGGTGCCCTACTACCATAACCCGTCGCCTGACCACAGCGGCGGGTATGCAACTCAATGCATTTTTACCACCGAAAAAAAAAAAAAAAAAAAAAAAGGTGCCCTACTACCACCACTTTGGCACAAAATTATGAGTGGAAGAATGTCATTCACCTTAAAAAAATACATTAAACAATGCATGAGTAATGAGTACGAGCTAGACAGGTTATTTATAACTATTGTTGTAGCGTTTATAATAGCTTGATTTGTAAACATTTTATTATTATTATTAGCATCAAGCGAAATACATACTGTCGGCTCATCATACTCTACTCTACACATTTGCAGCAAAATCCTACCTACTATAACCTTCATAAGATCCAACAGTATTTTTCTTGATATTCGCCCTATACAATACAAGTGCAAACGCAGCGTGAGACGTCCACCTACAAGGTGGACCGACGACATCGTAAAGGTAGCTGGGAAGCGCTGGATGCAAGCCGTTACCAATCGATCAACGTGGAAAGCACTGGGGGAGGCCTATGTTCAGCAGTGGACGTCCTATGGCTGAAATGATGATGATGATGAGAGTACAAGTATTAAACACAAAAGTCTGAATATAAAAAGAAAAAGTGTTCTTAAATTAGTACTATGTCCACTTATCCCCTCTTCACCCCACAATGCCCGATCCAAATGTCGTAATCCGACAATACTGATCGACTCCAATAAAGCATAGTATTGAAATATACGTCATCCGCGAAACAATGGTCCGGGTTCGATTCCCGGCGGTGATTGACGAGGCGACAGGATTAGATCGACGGATGGTTTTTTAGTTTCTTTTTATTGAACAAAAGATAGAGATGTTACTTTTCAAACGTATGTGGTCACTTATTACTAAAGTAAGTTACAACTTTCTTGTAAAACAGGTATTTTAAAAAGTTGATGCAATAATAATAATAAACTCTTTATTGCACACCACATAAACAGAACAGAAAGAAAAGGAACACATAAGGTACAATTAGGCAATGTTTGAAATCATCATCATCATCATCATTTCAGCCATAGGACGTCCACTGCTGAACATAGGCCTCTTGAAATGTGTCACTTTAATATTATTCTAGCGTTGAGATTTCTAAATAAAGTAACTACTAGCACTAAATAAGTATTAGTCTGCTAGTTAGATATTATAGGTTTAGGGCTTAACTAAGTAAGTGCCTGAGGTATGGAAGTTTTTTTTGTGACAGGAAGCAAACGAGCAGACGGATCACCTGATGGTAAGTGATTACCGTCGCCCATAAACACCCGTAGAGTTGAAATCTCGCTCACGTTTGACGTCCTAAAAATACCCTTCCATGTCGATATACCTCAGGCACTGACTTTATAAGTAGGTACGCGTTGGGCGTTATTCACTAGCTTCCCAGCCCACACTCGGCCTCGTCGGCACGCGCACCGACGATCGCCAAACGGCTAGAGTACCTTCTGTACTCGCCACTCTGCCCGGTGAAGCTGGAAAAGTTCTTCAAGCTCTTCAAAAAAAAACTAACTATATAATATTTTTTTTTATGCTAGACAAGGCATGTATTTGACCGCAATCGCACCTGGTGTTAAGTGAGATGCAGTCTAGGATTTACTGATTTTCAAAAATCACAACCATAAGAGCACAGCGGCACAAGAGGTTGTATCCATTTTCAGCAATAGAATAAAAATTAATATCACTGGCAGCATTAGCAAAAAATTTTAAAAAATAGCTTCAAGGCATAAAGTGTCTAATACATCAAACCGCATCACCGACATAAAGAAAAAGCTTTTCCATCCACTCCCGCTCGCGGGAACAATCGACGAACGGTTCGAGGATCGCTGATACGGGTGGTGATCAAGAAATTGCAGAAGGGACTGTGTTTTGAAGAGTATTTGTGCTGGAGATTTGTGCCTATTTTAAGTGGACTTATTTTCTGTATTACTACACTTACACATGTAGATTATCATTTAAATAATAAATACTTAGCAAATTGTATCAATAAGACAAAGAAAGACATTTTCCATCGACTGCCACTCGCGAGAACAATCGACGAACGGTTCGAGGATCGCTGATACGGGTGGTGATCAATGAATTGCAGAAGGGACTGTGTTTTGAATTTAGTATTTGTGTCAGAGATTTGTGCCTCTCTCCACACTCCTCACTCTACTTAAAGGAGTTTGTGACNAAAAAATTATAGTAGTCGCGTGCGATGTCGCGCTCGGATGGTAGCAGACTGATTTTTAAATTTCAACGCGCACGGAGCAACATCGCTCGCGGATACCCACATTTGGTACAATAAAAATATTCAAACCATACCGATACAAAATAACGATATGCATATCGAAATACCAGTTATTTTAAAATTAACGTTATAAAGTGCGCGTCGTCAACAGGGGTGATTGAGATACAACTTGATGTAAGGAATCTAACGCCCGTATTCGCAAACATTACTATGAGGTCTGACAGTGCGCGTGGACGCACAGGGTGACACTCGAACCAATCACAGAGCTCTAATCAACGCTGTGCATTCGATTTGCTGCTTCACATAAGCAAGCATTGTTTGTGAATACGAGCGGAAATGTTTCTTTTAGACCACCCTGTATAGTTTCGTCATGTCCGTCTGAGGTTTTGCCTAGAAACTATTGGCACTAGAGATGTGCTAGAGAGCTGTGTAATTTTGTGGAGGTATGTATATTAATCACGCCGATACAAAATGGTAGAATAAAAATTTTGATTTTTTTTTTATAGGGTAGCTTCCCTACTTGTAGTGGTGATGAATTTTTTTTTCGCGTTCTACCCCATCGTGTGGGGTATCGTTGGACAGGTCTTTTTAAATGGCTTAGGGGTTCTAAAGAGTAATAGCACAGGTAAGTCTCGTTTAAATGTCATACCCAATAAAAATTGCTTAGAAAATATTCAAAGTGACTTTAGATGAAGTATCTAATCATGCTTCTGAAATTATATTCTGGTAACGACGGACAACTACGGAACCCTGCACTGCGCGTGACACGACACGCACTTAGCAAATTTTTACCAATATTATTTATTAGAGATGCACCGAATGTTCGGTTGAATATTCGTATTCGGTACATTCGGCATATTTTTTTCATGTTCGTATTCGGCCGAATGTTCGGTTGAATTGCAGAATAATTACCGAATATTAAAAGTATTGTTAACAATTAAAAAAAATATATTTAATTAAACAGTTTGGTTAACTAATTACTAAATAAGTGTGGTTTATAGCGAAAGTATTTTATAGTTTTTGAAAATGAACCAGACACTACTTGTACCAATTATTCATTGTGAAATAAAAAGATAAATTTAATTTTTATGAAATTGAAAAATTTAAGGACACTGCCAAAACTGCTTTGAGTAACAAACAACTATTTTCAGAAAACTTTTTTTAGAATAGTTGTAATGTAATAACTACTATCTTAAGGAACCAACACAAGTATTCAAATATGTTTATAAAATCAAATAAGTTTTTTTAAATAAATATCTATCTAGGAATGTAGGTATGCTAGTGAATGGTGAACTAGGAATTGTTATAACTATTTGTAGTTTTAATTCAATGTAATTCAAATAAAATTCTTTAAAATCAACAATAAACAAATTATATCATCCGTTCACAAATGAAATTAAAAAACAAATGTATAGAAACTTTAAGAGTCAACATTAGTTGGTAATTTAAGTTTTAATCAAAGGACAATGGGCAAAATGGTACCCGGCTCCAATAGATATGTGTCTAGTATCGTTTGAAAGGTCTTACCAAGATGAACAACTTTTACTATGACCACCACCCTCAGATCTGGTTGTGTACGAAGATATACATACTTTTTTGCAGAATGGTACCCGGCTCCAATAGTTATGTTTGTAGTGTCATTTGAAAGGTCTTTCCAAGACGAACAACATTTACTATANGTGGAGGAACACTATCTGTGGTCGCGATCCTCATCAGTGAGGGACCGAGGAAGAAGAAGAAGAAGTATCATACCATCGTATGGTACTTAGGTTATGCGAGACAGGAAGGGTTTACTGCTCCAGCATCCTTCCTTAACTCTTTAATTATTGATGGGGATAATTGTGAAATAAATATTTTTATTTAAAGAAGTACTACCCCCTTATTAATAAAAAGTTACACCTAGGAAGAACCTTGGATTAAAATGATATTTCCATACCAAATGACAATTTAAGCCAGAGTTCAACTAAGGTGTAACTTTTATTAATAAAGGGGTTAAAGTTTTATTACTTCTTAAGGGTTTTATTTTATTATGGGTTGCTAAAGCGAATATTTAAACCCACAAGACCCAATAAGTCCACCCACAAGATGGACCGACGACCTCATAAAGGTAGCGGGAGGGCGCTGGATGCAGGCCGCCACAAAGCGGCCATTGTGGAAATCATTGGGGGAGGCTTATGTTCAACTGGACGTCCTATGGCTAAAATGATCATGATGATGATGATGAAAGCGAATAAAGGGCTAATAGCTTGGGTAGTTCATCGTAGGTATAATCCTTTCCTTTTCAATGCTTATTTTAGTTATATTAATAGATTGTAGTCATAATACATACTCGTATACATGGATGATTGTGTTATACTTTCATTATAATACTTAGTGGAATTACTGCTTTCAAAACGTGAATTAGAACTGGCCCCATAGCAGACATTTTCCTACATCTAAAGGCCTTTTAAAATATATATTGGTTATGGCTATTGGAGCGGGTACCACTTTCCATACATTTGTGCCCATCATCCTTTGAACCGAATGTTTCTGCCGAATATTCGGTTCGGTACATTTTGAACCGAATATTCGGCCGAACATTCGTATTCGGTTTAATCTACATTCGGTGCATCTCTATTATTTATATTGCTTTTTAATCAGCAAAAGTGAAAATAATTAATTTTTGCATACTCATCACTATAAATAATACACAAGAAATGGATTTTAGTTTTTTATTGGAATATTATGCCTAGTCACATCATTTAACTTCCTTAACCTGGAGACCTGCAACAAACAATATGAACATAAATTGAAATGTAAATTCTTATCAACAAATATCCTGACTCCAGAGCCTAATTAGGGTAGGGTGTATGTATATTGTTTATTAGATCATACATTGAATGTTTAACAATCAAACACAATTCCATCAATAAATTAATAATTACTGATTACATTTTAGCATTAAACCATAAATAATATATCATATTTATGGTATTTATTTTATAACCATTCTTCCTAGGAAGATATTTGCAAACAAAGGCATGAAATCAGGAATATGCCAAATCTCTTGACAACGACTTTATTAAAGGAAAGCCACGATAGCCGAACGGTGACAGGGGCGGACTGGCCAACTCGTGATCCAGGGAACGCGGGTTCGGTCCCCGCCGCCGCTCGACTATTGTGGTGAACTCAATCGTGACACAAGCATATTTAGCTTAGTACAAGAAGCTAACAGGAGTATTAGTATTTGTTTAATAATAAATCTTACTAATATTATTATAAATGCGAAAGTTTGATGTCTGGATGGATGTATGTTTGTTACTCTTTCACACAAAAACTACTGAACGGATTTTGATGAAACTTTAGTTTTATTGTTTACAACCCAGAATAACATATAGGCTATAATTTATGATGATCTGTGACAAGCCAAATTTCACGCGGGCGATGCCACAGGCAAAAGCTAGTTATTAATAATATTAAAAAAAAAAGTGCCATTGCACAGTTTCTCCCAACTAAAGTCCAAAGTTGGGACTCTCAACTCATTTTAGCCAAATGACAGCCACTGCTGGACAGAGGCCTACCCCAAGACGTTAGTCCTGACAAAATTAGTTCTCTTGAAAGAAAAATATAATTACTACATGTGAACTTTTAAACATAAGTTACTTAATATTTTTTAGGTTCTTGTGTCAAATTAACCACAAGATGGAACTTTTAGATGGATACATACCCGGAGGTAAGCTCTGCTTAAGTTTCTCCGCCTTCTCCTTGTCAGTGATGACGAGTGTGTACAAGAACCGTGAGCAGCGAACCTTGAACTTCACATTTTCAGGGTTCTTCTTTATTTTGACAGCTAAAATTAAAAGTAACATTAAATTAAATATAGGCCATAATCTCATATGAATTTCATGTCAGTGTTTATAACAAAACTCCTCCAACAGCTCGACTGATTCTTAGTATGAGAATAAGAGGTGAACTTGGGGTTTTAAATGCGTTACGAAGTCGCGAGCACAGCTAGTTTCTAAATAAAAATCACTAACGACGATAAATCTGGTCTTAACATTATAGTTCAAGCTAATGCATTACACTTTACTGAAAAAAAAAACTCAAACATTGGGTTTTAGTGGCTATGCTTACAGGTTATAAACATTACATTTACTTACATTTGGCATCTTTCCTGCGCGCCTTCAGCAGAAAATCTTTTATATCCTTGATTTCACGCGGCTGTAATAACAAATTTAACCATTTTACAAGAATATTTGTATATGATATTTAAAGTAATATGGAATTACTTCTAATTTCTGTAAACAAAAACTTACCATGTTGAATGGCTGGAGACAGTAACGAAAACCGACACTGAAAACGATAATAGAAACTTATTAAACGAAATATTGTGTTATTTAGATAAATACTAAATTATGCTTTACAATGAAAAAGTAAAATACACAAATCGATTATCTTGTACAAAGATTAATATGGATTTTTTAAGATTATTTCTAAAATCCACAACATTTACCTGTCAAATTTATTAAAAGAGGAATTCTGACAATTTGTGTGAAAGTGACAGCAGGTCGTTCCCCTCCCCCCCCCCCCTCCCGATCATCCCTTTTAAAGCAAAGATCATAATTATTATACGGTTAATTTTTTTTAATAACATTAACGGTGAATATAGTAAAAAATTAAGTGGACAAAATTTAATTCTTTTTTTTTACAAAGTGGAGAAGCCCAATAAAATTATTGATCTATACAAAAAAGAGAATTACAATTTTAAGATCTCACATTTTTAAATAACAGCAAGAAAGCAAGGAAATAAAGTTTAGTAAAGTTTTACTTTAAACTGTAATACCTATTAATCCTATCATAAGTTTGTCTGGATCTCTGGATGTCAACATGTTTGTTACTTTTTCACGCAACTAAGATGACCCACGCTGAACTGTCCCGCCAAACTTTGTCGGCCGTTTGGTGTAGTGGTTCGAAACGGACTACTCTTCCGGAGGTTGCGGGTTCGATTCCCGCACAGTACAAACATTTGTGTGCATGAACATATTTGTTTGTATTGGACTGGGTGTTTTCTATGTATAATAAGTATGTATTTACAAAAAAAAAAGTATTTATAGCCTGACCAGGAACATAAAAACCCCGGCTTAGAGGCGCTTCAATTGCATTTGATAGTGCAACACTGGGTACAGTCGTACCTGTATTAAATTAATAGGCTAACTTTATGTGTCAGGATTCGGGATTATAGGCTTATTAAATATTTTCATAAATTAACAAAAACGTATTATATTATAGGTAAACTGGTTTAAATAAATTAAATGAAACCATCAATCGAGCAAGTAGGATTTTATTATTATTCATCAATAATCAAATTCTGAACTTGAATATTCAACTACAATGTCTGCTCATGAACGCTTCAAACTCGGTACTTCTTTCCCAATTCCATAAAATTCAATACTTACAAAGTGACAAAAAACTTTAAAATAGGTAGTTGAAACAAACCACAGCTAATTTTCATAGTTGACTGTACTATACGATAAACATGTCAGTCAATTTGACAACCTTTGTCAGAAACATTATTCAATGAAAATATTGTCCGAACCCTTAGTATTTCTCTTCGACAAATACTTTAACACATTGTGAACCACTTTTCTTTCACGGCTATTAAAAGATTTTAGCAATTTAATTCACAAAATCAATTGCGCACATTTAAAATAAAGTTTGTTTACACTTTGACAGCAATAGACTGACATGCAACGTGACATGTCAATGAAGTTTTCAGTTATAGTTCCAAAATACTGGACTGTCCTGTCGATGACATTGACAGTGGGGCGCCACCGTCAATACCGGATCGCTGGTTCCGATTTTTGCCATGTTGGAAACCATATAGTTGAGCGATGGTAGCGCCCCCCTGTCATTGAGTTTGGTGGGACAGTTCAGCGTGGGTCATCTATACTGTTGCCATTAAAAGAAATTAGTACCATTAATTTTCCGCAACATGGCGAGGGTTTTTATGTTCCTGGTCAGGCTATAAGTATGTTTATATCCGTTCTCTAGTATAGTTCCAAAATACTGCCCCCCTAGACAAAACGCACTTTTTGATCGAATCGAAAATCGAATCCGTCAAAACTCCATACAAAAAAGGGGCTTTTCGACCACTTTTCGACTGGTTTGCGATTATAATTTGCACTTTGTCTAGACCCACTGGACTGTCCTGTCGATGACATTGACAGTGGGGCGCCACCGTCAATACCGGATCGCTGGTTCAGATTTTTGCCATGTTGGAAACCATATAGTTGAACGATGGTAGCGCCCCCCTGTCATTGAGTTTGGTGGGACAGTTCAGCGTGGGTCATCTATACCCATAGTACAAGCTTTGCTTAGTTTGGGACTAGAAGCGCAGTGTAAAATGTCCAAGGATACAAAAAAAAAAAACTCAATGACAGGGGGGCGCTACCATCGTTCAACTATATGGTTTCCAACATGGCAAAAATCGGAACTAGCGATCCGGTATTGACAGTGGCGCCCCACTGTCAATGTCATACATATAGATGACCCACGCTGAACTGTCCCGCCAAACTCAATGACAGGGGGGCGCTACCATCGTTCAACTATTATGTTTTCTAACATGGCAAAAATCGGAACCAGCGATCCGGTATTGACGGTGGCGCCCCACTGTCAATGTCATCGATAGGACAGTTCACTATTTTGGAACTATAGAACAGTTGAGCCCCGATTACGGTAATTTTTAACGTCTCCAATCCAGACACAGCGTACGTCAGCTGTTTTGACCAATCGTATTGCAGAATCGATGAAGCGCGTCTGGATTGGAAACGTTAAAAGTTACCGTAATCGCGGCTCTATTTTGGAACTATACTGAACTGTCCCTTGTCATTACTTGTCAAAATCGAGCAGTCTAGAATGCATTTTCTCAGCGATCGCTTGTTTTTTATACTTAATACACAGATGGTCTACGCCCTCTTTATAGGTCTTTGCGCCTAACTTGGGGGGCGCCCCCCCACTTTGGGAACCCCTAGGACCTATCCCTAACGACTCCTTGGTATACTAGGCTGTATATCGTAATGCCCTTGCCTTGTCCTGAAAAGGAAAGAATCAAACAAATAAATGACCATGAAGCTAAAGATAAAAATGGAGGCCACACTTGGAACAAAAACTTGAGTCAAATACCTACTTATCTCTATCTCGTTCTCTGTGGGCCGACCTCTCTTTTTAGTGTGGACTGTAGTATTGCTATCTCCTTATTTAAATCTCCTAGTAAATTCTTCGAAATAGCCAATTCACTAACCAAATCAGAAGTTAAACAAATAAATAATAATTAAATATTTGAACTACGATTACCTAGTTAAATTAAAAATTACAAAATTGTCGGCCGTTTAGGCTAAATGTGTTGGCGAATCAGCGAATTACAATCCCAATTCCTGGGGAATCGGTACCATGTGGCAAGATCGGCCCAATCCGGCCCATTATGACGGTTGTTTACTATTTTGTTTACTATGCAGTTAATTTCGTTTGAGATTTTTTACAGGACCTAATCATTGTTTTATCACAAAAAATGGTGGAAAATTTTGTAGTGCGTGGTTGCGGTAGTACGTGGTGTCCTGGAAGTGACTTAAGATTCCACGCGTAAGTGTTTATTTCGTAATTTACGACATTGGATCATTGTAAACATATTTCTTTGTATTGTCACAGTAATTTCTTCCTAAAACGTTTTACCAGTATTAACACTTATTATTTAATGATACCTATGTCAAGAAATAAAGATTTTACATTAAGTTTCATTGACTTTGAGCAAATTTATATTTATTGTTTATTTAGAAAGAGAGAGTCTGCCCACAGAGAGCGAGATAGTGATACATAGGTTGTGCTTCAAGTAGGTATTCGGAGTGTGGCCTCCATTTTTATCTATAGCTTCATGTAAATGACATGACATTGTTGACGTAACTGATTGACAGCGTCGGTTCGTTTCGTTTTTTATCTGTCTTGTCTGTTTCCTTCGCCGAGTGGTTTTGCAAAGAAAGGCTCGTTTTGATTATATTTTGTTTGTTTGCGCAAAATTAATAAGATACTTGCACTCTAACGCTATGTGCAAACTGCAGCTATTGGAAGTTTCCGGAGGAATCCAAACAAGGACGCCGAGGCGCGGACCTGAGCAATAGCCAGGAGGCATGGAAGCTCGAGGCGGAGTACGCAGCAGCGCCAGGCTCAGCGGCGAGGCGGCCCGCAGCGGCGGCAGCGGGAGCAGCGGCAATGGCCGGCCGGCGGAGGTGGCGGCGGCGGCGGCGGCGGCGGCGGCGCTGCGGCGCGAGCGCGCGGCCGAGCGAGCGCGGGAGGTGGAGGACAGCCCGCGGGTGCTGCGCGACAAGTGCCGCCGACTAGCGCGCGCGCTGCGCAACGCCAAGCACCTTGTGGTGAGTGCGGTCCATTTCATAATCAATAATTTAAGTGTTTAATTGATTTATAAATTAGTGAACTATGTTGGATGTCTGTATTGTGTTTTCATGAATGAAAACTTCTTGTTGCAGGTGTATACTGGAGCGGGCATCAGTACAGCGGCGGACATCCCTGACTACCGAGGGCCGCATGGGGTTTGGACGCGACTGCAGCGTGGAGAAACTGTAGGGTGAGTGTTAATGTATTTTCTGCATAATATTTCTTACAAAGAAACATTATTATAAAGTGCTTAATTAAATTTACTTTAATCCATTTTTTACCCTCATAAAATGTATGAAGCTTGTCTGTTTTCTACTTCTACTATTATATAATTTTTATAATAGATAAGTTTTTGAAGAGTGAGGTGAAGGTGGGTCAACAAGCCCCAGATTTAGTTTGTCACAGATCGTCATAAATTATAGCCTATATTAAGTTAATCTGGGTTATAAACAATAATACTGTTAAGTTTCACCAAAATCTGTTCAGCAGTTTTTGCGTGAAAGAGTAACAAACATCCAGACAGCCAAACTTTTGCATTTATCTGGGGGCACGGCAGTGCCCCCGCCAAGTCGAGCGCGAAGCAAACACTGCCGTACCATCCTTTACTGGAACCATTTCGCCGCATTTTCAGGCCCCTATTTGAGAACCTCTGGATAAGACCAGAAAGCAGAAATTTTCGTCATCTAGTAAGCTATAATCACATACTTAAAATCCAAAATTTCAAGTCTGTAGGTCATTTAGTTCCGAAGTTAAGCGAAAGCAAAGTTTCGCATTTATGACACTCACTCACTCACTGATGATCATCAAAATAGAACTAGTACTTCCCATAAACTCAGAGAGCTGAAATTTGGTACAGAGTTAGGGTTTAATGGCCACATGAAGGGAAAACTATAAAAAGTAGGAAAATCGAAGATCTGGAGTAACACCACATTCATAATCAATACTACTAGCGCCACACCGGCACCGTGGTGTTCGCCTGTACCGCTCACCGCTAGATGGCGCTAGCACTTTGAGCGTCGATTTTCTGCACCGCGGTGACCAGATTTTTTTTCCTTTCTAGACCCCCCCGTCGATTAAGTTGATTCAACGGCCAAGTCACACAACATTAACTATAATAATAAAGAAATCGCAGTAAAGAACCATAGACTTGGCACGACTTTGTCTAGATTTCATTACTTTTTAGAGATAAACAAGCAGCTCCATCGAGACTTGGCTAGTTTTTTACAGAATGTTTTGGTGGGATAATATTAGTAGGATGAATTCCTGTTCGTTAATTTCGCTAAAACTTGCTGATTTTGGTTTTGAAATGATTGTTGTAGTCCAGGGAAAGTTGAAAACATGGGAAAAATTACAATTTGATTTTCAGGCATATGAATTCACGGGCACAGCTAGTCTTCATATGTACATTTATCCTCAAACCCTACAACTACTACAGTTATAAATGGATTATCCAACTGAGAGTAAGAACAGAGTTTATAACTTTAATGAATGCACAGCAGATATTATAGTCTATTTTAGCAACATTCAAGTAGCAGCCCACAGACGGCTTTGACAATTTTCCCAAGGATCTTTAACAGCAAAACAGCAATTGGTAACTAATTAACAGTATTTTTAGAAAATTTTTAGCTTCGAAACTGAGGTGAAATTTAGAAAACCTATGTTGACTTATCTTGACTGAATGCTCAAATACTAAACTAATCGAAATATATTCTGTATTAACCGGTACTCAGTAGGATGCCTATGATTTACAATTCACCACACACAAGATACATATTTGTAATATCACTGGTTAATAGCAATTATTAACTAGTTTGAAAAGTATTTGAGTCAAATTGCGCATGAAGGGTGTAAACGCTCTCGACAAGCGGGAACTGACGCGCGCTCTGTGTGTGTGTGCAGGCGCGTGGAGGTGTCGCGCGCGCAGCCCACCTTCACGCACATGGCGCTCACGGCGCTGTGGGCGCGCGGCGCGCTCAAGTTCGTGGTCTCGCAGAACTGCGACGGCCTGCACCTGCGCGCCGGCCTGCCGCGCCGCGCGCTCGCCGAGCTGCACGGCGACATGTTCGCCGAGCACTGCGCCGCCTGCCGCCGCGTCTACCTGCGCGCCTTCGACACCACCGAGCGCACGGCGCGCCACGCGCACGGCACGCGCCGCCTGTGCCACGCCTGCGGCGCCGAGCTGCGCGACTCCATCGTGCACTTCGGCGAGCGCGGCCGCGCCGCCTGGCCGCTCAACTGGGCCGGCGCGCTGCGCCACGCGGCCCGCGCCGACGTCGTGCTGTGCCTCGGCTCCAGCCTCAAGGTGCTGCGCCGCTACCCGCGCCTGTGGCGCATGCACGCCGCGCCGCGCGCGCGCCCCGCGCTCTACATCGTCAACCTGCAGTGGACGCCCAAGGACTCGGTGGCCGCGCTCAAGATCAACGCGCGCTGCGACGCCGTCATGCGCCAGGTGGCGCGCCGCCTGCGCCTGCGCGTGCCGCGCTACCGCGCCGAGCGCGACCCGCTGCTGGCGCACGCCGAGCCGCTGGCCGAGCCCGAGGCGCACACCACGCGCCGGCCGCTGCTGCGCGCGCCGCCCGCGCCCGCCGCGCCCTCCTCCGACGACCCGTCCTCGCCCTCCGCCTCCGACTCCGACGAGGAGCTGCCGCTGCTGCGCCTGGCCGAGCGCCTGCGCGGGCCCGCCGAGCCCGAGCCGCCGCCCGCGCGGTCCCCGGAGCCGCCGCCGCCGCCGCGCCCGCCCGAGCCGCGATCTCAACCGCCGGATTTGCTGCGCGCCTTCCAGGTACCGTCGTTTTTCTCGCCGAGCGATCGCCCCCCTCGTCGATCCGCCGACGTAGTGAAGTCTACCTCACGTTTCTCGCAGGTGAGCATGCGGTCGGGGCACGCGACGATCCTGCTGCGAGCCGAGCACGCGCCGTGCGCGCGGCCGCCGCCGCCGGAGCCGCCGCCGGGCTCGCTGCGCAGCTTCCGCATGGCGCGGCCGCGCGCCGCCGCGCCACCGCCGCCGGCCGCGCTCGCCCCGCTCAAGGTCGAGAAGGAGGAGGCCGGAGACCCGGAGCCGCCGAACGGGCTCAGCTCGCGGCTGCGCCGCCTGCTGGAGTGCGAGCCGCGGCTCGGCGCCGACGCGAAGCCGAAGCCGGAGCCGAAGCTGGAGCCGAAGCCGGAGCCGAAGGACGAGTCGTCGTCGTCGTCGTCGGAGGACGGCGGCGGCGCGGGCGCGCTGGCGGCGGCCATCATCGCGCGCGCCGTGCTGGTGTGCCGCGCGTCGCTGTACCCGGGGCTGCACACCATCATCGCGCCGCCGCCGCCGCCGCCGCCGCCGCGCGCCGAGTGCGCCTGGTGCCTGCGGCGGCACGCGGCGCGGCGCTGCCTGTGGTACGGGCCGGCGCGCGGCACGCCGCTGGAGGCGGCGTGCTGCACGGAGGCCGCGCCGGCCGCCGCGCCGCCGGCGGAGGACGGGGGCGGCTGGTACGGCAAGGGGTACCGCAAGGGCCGGCGCCGGCGCAGGTAGCGCGAGGCGGGCGCGGCCGAGGGCCCCGCGGGCCCCGCCGGCGCGCGCCCCGCCCCCGCCCCGGGGGACGGCGGAGCTCCGCCCGATCTCGAGACTGAAATCGATCGAGTCTCGTGAAGTTGGTTACCCTATCTTTGAGACGGAGCCCCCACCGATTGAGGAAGCGCGACTCCCGAGTGTGCTTCCGAAGTGATCCGCGCCGACCTGACGTCGCGCCGGCCCGCGGTCGGTTGAGACTGTAACGTTCTGACTGAACTGATGTGCGAGCGTGTCGTCGTCCGAGACGGCCGTCGCATGATGTATTTATTTTTTTACAAAGATTAGGTTATAGCTACGAACAAAATAGATAGGTATTGAATGAATTATAAGTGAGTAGGTACAATTAATAAAATAATATTTCTCCTTTGTGTATATGACCTAATCTAGCTTAAGATTTGTATCTCAATACTGGTATTATTCAATGGTTGTGATACGAGTGCTTAAAACGCCCACTTTAATGATTTTCACACTTGTCACAAACTTGATAAATCATGATTATTATTTATCTGATACACAGAATTGTAAACCTCTTGATTGAATTAATTAATATAACTGATGAATTAATTAATATAATTGATTTAATTAATTAATATAATTTTTACTGAATCAAGAATGTTTCAATTGCATATTTTTAATTAAATTATTATTGGTTCAATTGATTTACCTATAATAATATGCTTTAATTGCACACATGTCGGTAATGTTGGTGTTATTTGAATTTCATTTTTTAATATGCCGCTATGATGAAGTGAAGTGGACCTTAAGGGACAGGTTTTATAATTTGTTTAGTACAAACTGCTATGCCATAGAATAAGATTTTTCTGGAACAAATGTATTTGTCTTCCTTTATAATTTCATATATTATGCTACAGTTCTCGCGTAATATTTTAAACACCATCATAGACGTCGAGGCAACTCGTGAGAACATCACAATATAACATTAAGTTAGATAATAATTAAAAGTCATGCTACGGGTGTCTTTGTGAGGTTTTAGCTTCACGGATTTTTTTTTAAAACGTATGGCCATCCTGTTAACGCAATGATTGGCTTAGATTTAACAAGTTGTTTGACCCGAGTGGCGTGTGCTGTCTGTGTACAAGCGACAATTGTTCATTAATTAACGGGTGCCATGTGCCAGAATGTGAAATAAACTTGTGGAACATGATGTTGTGTTTAAATTTTACTTTTACTTTACTTTTAATCGGTTTTGTGTATATTCCGAACGCCGCGGCGATGGCAGCAATCTAGGACTAGGACTTAACGACCACAAAGTTACAGGGTATGTTGTGCGGAAAGAGGCGTGTCGCACGATTTGAGAGCGCAGCGGTGCTTATTAACAAACTTTTATTATGTCGTCGTGTAGGTATCTATGTAATGGAATCTTATAATCTGAATTACATGCACTTCTAATTCTTGTATCATCATGAAACTTGGCAATTAGTTATGTAGATTAGATGACAATACAATATTATGGTACCATGTAATATCCAATATTATGATGATGGGACTGGAAAGTGGCCATAGGAACTCCTGAACGAAACGGCGGAATCGTATCGAGTTTGGTTTCATTAGATTTGTCTTGTCGAGTACTTTAAGTACTAGAAACTAGATGATCATCATCATCATTTCAGCCATAGGACGTCCACTGCTAAACATAGGCCTCCCCCAATGACCTCCACATCGCACGGTTGGTAGCGACCTGCATCCAGCGCCTTCCTGCTACCTTTATCAGGTCGTCGGTCCACCTTGTGGGTGAACGGTCCCACGCTGCGTTTTCCGGTACATGGCCTCCACTCCAGAACCTTGCTGCTCCAGAAACTAGATGATGACGTGCATTTTAAACAATTTTTGTTATAATTACTGCCGTCAGCCGGTTGTTGGCTCATTTCATGTCATGTAATCAATAGTTGATGATGAACAAGGTGTTATCTTGATAGTTTGAAACTTACTTTGTCTAATAAAAATAATAATAATCATAATTTTTCGCCATCGCATCATGACAGTTCTCTCTCCGCGCGGACTATCGGTTTACTACAAATTAATTAGGTTTATGTAAAAACAGAACGATTTGTTAACGATAGAAAACCATCAATTTGATTCTTATGAGGTTATCGCCTCCCAGTCAGTTTACGTACGCCTATGTTATTGTTTATGTATACCAGTCCCATCATTGGCGTGTGCGCATTTCTGCGCTTTTTCAGACTCATGTATCCTGCGCTAAAAATAGCTTTGACAGATCGCTGGCCGACTGCTCGTGCGGCGGCGTCTACGTGGCTTCGTCAAGCCGATCAACGGATCAACGATAAAAGTTTCAATGCTGTGACGACATCGAGAGCGTGCGGATGTCACTATCTGCCGCGAACCTATCTGTTACAACTTCCGTCGAAAGCACTCGCGCGCGCTAGTGACAATTAAATACATTGGAGCGTATGGACTTCTTATAACCAACTTGCAAACATCGCTGGACTCGCTGGACTATTCTGCACGCGTTGCGGAACCATTGATTTTAGGTAAGTACTTAAGCAGTGATTTGACTTGCTATCATTACATGGATTAATCTTCGTTAATATATTAAGTAGGGTAATTGCGCCGGTTTTCCGTCCAGCTCCTGTTTTCGTCCATTTGACTGACTTGCCACAAACAAATACGGAAAATTAGAATACAAACCTAACTTTCCGTGCAAGTTTGGACTTGTTACAATCTATAATATCTAAGTAACAGTTCTGCCTGCACGAAAATGTAATTTGACAAGTAATAACTCCAAAAAAATCTACGGAAGTTGCTGCTGCACACAGGTGAATGGAAAACGTCGTCAAGTTAGAAAAAAAACGTGCCGGTAGGGAACTTTCATGGTATGTTTAATTACTGTTTTAGCTACTTTACGTAATGTTTTTGGCACGTATGTCTAATTATTAGCATAATAAACACTATTTTAAGGGTTTATTAAAGTTTTTGTATAGAAATCTTAGATAATTAAGTGGACTAATACTAGCATAACAATTTTGCAAGATTTTGGTTTTCGTCCACGTGGACGGAAACCCTGACACCTAGTTAATATTTTTAATAATCATTTTACTTCAATGGACCTACAAAATACAATGTTTTTTCTTCCAATATGATCTTTATTGCTATTACATTAAACATTTTAGTTTACGTCCACTTTTTAACAGTGATAAACCCATAAAAACCGTTAAAAAGATGTGGACGAAAACAAAAAACAGCTTTAAACGTTGTTGTGTTTTCGTCCATGACGTCATGAGCAAGCACTGGGGTGGACGAAAACCAAAATTAGCTATTCCTGTAGATTAGTTTTCGTCCATTTGTCCTTCGACCTATTGCAATATTTTCCTAAATTTAGGTAAGAAACTTATTTAAATCTTTTTGATATCATTTGAAAGCTAACAAAATTACCTTTCAAATGATATACCACAATCCATAGTTACTGTATTGTAGAATTGGTTTTAAGTTAATAATTCAACTGCACCCTTTTTTCTACACAGTGGTCGAAAACTAGCGTACACTAGGACGAAAACTGAATTTTTTGGACGAAAACTAGTGAAATCGCCTCTTTTGCATAAAATATTTTTTATAAAAAAACCCGTGGTATTTACTTATTGTCATATAATATTAACGTAAAGTAGACTATATAAGGACTAAAATGACATATGATACATATGAGTAAGGGTATTTTAAGATATTCATTTCGCATCACAAAGTTGGCAACTCCGATAATTGGACGAAAACTAACGCACTTACCCTATTACCCCACAATGAGTTTTGCTCAATATGCACATCGATTTACGGAATCTCATTTGATAAAGAAAGTTTTTACATCAGATTCCATTCCATTTTTTAGGGTTCCGTAGTCCTGACAAGGAACCCTTATAGTTTCGATATGTCTGTCTGTCTGTCTGTCCGAGGTTTTGCTTGGAAACTATTGGCACTAGGGAGCTGTAATTTGGGGTATGTATATTAATCACGCCGTCAAAACGGTAAAATAAAATTTAGAAAAAATATTTTAGGCTAAGTAGTTAACTCCCCAACATGTAAAATGGGGATGAATTTTTTTTTCATCATCTACCGCATCGTGTGGGGTATCGTTGGATAGGTCTTTTAAAATGGCTAAGGGGTTTCTAAGACTATTTTTCCAATTATTAAAGTTTAAAGTGCCAATTTTTGTTCGAGTAGGGCGTTTCGAGTAAGCTGGAAAAAATTGTAATACCTAATACTGCTCAGTGCCGTATTATCCATAAGGCACTTTAGGCCAGTGCCTAGGGGCCCACTATGACCAGGGGCCCAGCACTCCCGATAAAAAAATGAAAAAAAAAAAATGTTAAAGATTATTTTTATTCAACAAAACTTGAACCACCTCAAAACTTCGCCTTATTTTGGTTTACACATTCAATCGTCATATTTCGATATTGTGGAACCTAATTCAATTTTGTAACGTTGGCATTACTGCTTTGGTTTACATGACAGGTCGACTGTCGACGCCTTTCAGAGGCTAAAAAGCCTCACTGTGCTGTGGAGGCTAGGGAGAGGGGTGAGGGTGTGTTGGGTGTATCATTGGATAAAGTCAACGCTTTCAATACCATCCCTCATTCCAACATACTCTATGCACTTAAACATCACAGAGTGCCTCAGTACCTTCGAGCGCTGCTGGCCGATGACTTACGGGACCGCGAAGTCCTGTATGTTAACAGAGACGGCCAGCTCAAACGGCGCGGCGTAGCCAGCGGGGTTCCGCAGGGTTCGGTGCTCGGTCCACTCTTGTGGAACCTAGGCTTCAACTGGCTCCTCCGGGGCGTACTTCTCGCGGGCATGAGTGTCATATGCTATGCGGATGACACTCTGGTCACTGCCTGGGGGAAGACATTTAGGGCCGCGGCACGGCTGGCGTCGGTGGGCGGCACATTAGTCGCTTGCAGAATACGACGCCTCGGCCTGAAAGTCGCGCTGGAGAAGACTGAGGCCCTCTTCTTTCCGGGGCCTCGCCAGCGCACCCCTCCCGATGCCCACATTGTAGTTGAGGACGTTAGGATTGACGTCAGATGCCAGATGAAATATCTGGGCCTCACGCTTGACAGGAGGTGGCATTTTAGCCTGCACTTCAACGGGCTAGCGCCACGCCTCCTCAAGGCAGCCGGCGCACTGAGTTCTGGCTCCTCCCGAATTTGGGAGGGCCACAAACGAGGTGTCATCGACTTTATGCCGGCGTTCTGATTCTGGCGGATGACACGGTGCAGCACACTCTCGCGGTCTGCATAGGCTGTGAGGAGCAGCGCCGTGTCCTCACTGCGGTCGTGGGCCGGGATCTTTCGCTTCCGAGCCTGGTCAACGCCATGCTGGGAAGTGAAGGATGCTGGATGGCGGTCGCCTTCTTTCGCGAAGAGGTCATCCTTCAGAAGGAGGCAGCGGAGCGCGAGCGGGAGAACGATCCTCTCGCGTCATCGCACCGCAGGCGGAGAAGGCGGTTGTACGACGTTGTACGGCGGCCAGCAGGCCGGGGGTGCGGGGGTACCCTTGTCACCTCCGTCTGACGGGAACGGCTTGGCGTTTCGGGCCATTCCCGTCAGACTCTCTCAAGGGGGGCGTGTAGGGTCCGCCGTGTAGGCGAGCTGTCGCCGGTGGTGTTGCGAAAGTCTAAGGCTACGGCCGGATACTCGCGACACCCTCACTTGGGCGATGACGGAACGCCGCTGAGGTTTTAGTGGGTATACCCCGTCCGTCCTGTTCAGGACGAAGCAGCACCCTTTTAGGGCGCCGGGAGTCCCACACACCACCTTGTCCCCCGGCAGTGGTGACGGTGCGCAAAGCATTTCCTCCGCGACAGATAAAGGGGGGCCCGAAGCGAGCTGTGCCTAGGGGCCCCGAGATGGTTAATCCGGCTCTGATACTGCTTTTCATGAACTTTCAAGGAAAACTATAACGTTTAAGTAAGATACATCAGTTAGTTTAAGATTGCTTCTGAAATATATTGTGGTAACGACGGACGACTACGGAACCCTACACTGCGCGTAGCACGACACGCACTTGGCCAATTTTTTTTCTTAAATGGTTGTCGTTTATATGGTGTTTTACGAAGGGTAAACTCGGTTCGTTTTTCGGTCTGTATCAGCAGTGGTCGCGCGCAGCATGTTCCGGGTGGCGACGCGCGCGGCGCGG